TCTTCTTGACACAATGCATGGGTTTTGCTTGTGTATCTATTTTTATGACTAGGCAACTCATTCTATTATATTCTAATGAGGATACAGCTCTAAAACTCAGTTTTATGGTTCTGAGCCGGCTGGTAGTCAGGTTTCCCAAACTCTGTGGAAGCTCTCAGAGAGGCTGATTCTATCAACAGCTGAAAAATATCAAAGTATTAACAATGCCATGTTGTGCATAGATGGTGTCCCTGTTTGTACTTTTGGTTTGCATTACCAAGACCACATTGAAGCCCTTTGTTATGGATTAGGGTTTATTAGTAGTAATGAAGCAATTGCTTGGGCTATTAAACTGTACTGAGTATGTTAAAGTGTGCTGAGTGTCTAATAAAGTGTACAGTACTATCTATGCTTTGAGTCAAGTTCTTAAACAAATTTAAAGATGAATAAAGTAAAAAAAACTATAAAACACAAAAAACTTTTGTCATCACCAAGCTCTCTAAACCATTTTTTCAAGTTCTCTAAAATCATTCACTAATATCCGTGGTATTCGAAGTAACTTTTCTTCTGTTGAGTCTTATCTCTTGCAAAGTTCACCAGACCTACTTGCTCTTTGTAAAACTAATTTGAGTTCGGCTGTCTCATCTTGTAATCTTAGTGTTGATGGTTATCTTCCTTTAATTTGTTAAGACTCTAATAGTCACATGCTTGACCTGGGCATTTACATTCGTAAGAATTCACCCATTTTTCGGGAAACTAGGTTTGAATCCACAGACTACTCTTTTATGTGCTTTCGTTTAGCACCACTTCACTCTATCGCTTTTCTCTTTGTTCTATATCGCTCTCAAGACTGCACTCTTCTTGATGTTATTTCTGATCATATTGACCAAGTCCTCTCTCTTTATTCATCAGCCAACGTTGTTGTTGTTGGTGACTTTAATGCTCATCATACTGCATGACTTGGCTCTAGTGTCAGTGATTCTGCAGACATTAAAGCCCATAACTTTTGCCTTTCTCAATCCCTAACTCAAATAGTCAACTTTCCAACTCGTTTTCCAGACAACTCGAATCATTTACCTTCTCTACTCGACTTATGTCTTGTTTCTGATCCTAGTTAGTGCTCAGTTTCTCCACATTTATCCTTAGGTGCCTCTGATCACAGTTTGATCTCTCTAAAATTATTATCTCATTCTTCTTTGTTATCAGAATCCCCCTATCATCGTACATCTTACAACTACTGTAAAGCTGACTGGGACTCTTTCTGTGATTTTCTTCGTGATGGGCATTGGGTAGAAATCTTTTGTCTTCCTGTTAATAAATGTGCTTCTTAGATAACTTTGTGGATTCAGGCTGGCATGGAATCTTTTATTCCATCTCGACAATTCCAGGTTAAGCCTCACTCTTCTCCATGATTTTCCTCACATTGTGCGGCTGCAATTGCCAATCGAAACCACTACTTCCATATCTATCAGCAAAACAATTCTCCAGAAAGCAGACGTTTGTTTATTACTGCTAGGAACCATTGAAAAAAAGCTTTGTCTAATGCAAAAGCCCGCTATTTTCAGATCATGAAATCTCGTATTTCATCACAAAAATTAGGCTCTCGTGATTTCTGGAGAATCTTGAATAGTATTAGTAATATGGGCAAGTCTGTAATTCCACCTCTTTTGTATGGTTCAGACTTTGTCACCTCACCTAAAGACAAAGCTGAATTGTTTGCTATAAACTTTTCATCAATACCATCTCTTGATTCCACTAGTTGCGTTCTACCTGATATATCGGTAAACAGGTTGATCCATTGCTTGATATCCGTATCATCCCAGCATCTGCATCTAAAGTGATTTCCTGCTTAGACTCTTCTACAGCTTGCGGTCAGGACAACATACCTGTTATAGTCTTGCAGAAGTGTTCTCTTGTGCTGTCGTCTATCCTTTCAAAACTATTCAACAAGTGTTTATCAGAGTCTTGTTTTCCAGCCTGTTGGAAAGCAGCATCTGTTATCCCTATTTTCAAAAAATTCTGGTGAGTGATCTGATTCATCTAACTACCGTCCCATTAGTCTTCTTCCTATCATAAGCAAGGTTTTTGAATCTTTAGTTAACAAACACGTAATCTCTCATCTTGAATCTAATAACTTACTTTCTGATCATCAATATGGATTTCGATCTTCTTGTTCTACGGCTGATTTGCTAACAGGAATAACCAATAGGTTTTATCGTGTATTAGATAAAGGTGGAGAGGTTAAGGCCATTGCTCTTGACATTTCTATAGCGTTTGATAAAGTTTGACATGCTGGTCTTCTCCATAAGCTTTCTTTTTACGGTATATCTGGAAACATCTTTAAGATTATTGAATCCTTCCTTTCTAATCGTAGTATAAAAGTTGTCCTTGATCGACAACACTCTTCTTCTTATTCTGTAACCTCAGGGGTTTCTCAAGGTATAATTCTTAGCCCTATACTCTTTTTAATTTACATTAACGATCTTCCAGATATTCTCGCATCTAAGGTGTTATTGTTCGCTGATGGTACTACCATTTATTCTTGTCATTATAAGAAGCCAACACTCTCTGATTGCTAGGAGGGGGCATTTAAGCTTGAAAAGGATCTCACTTCTGCTACAGCATGGGCTCATAGTGGCTGGTGATTTTTAATTCAGATAAAACTCAGTTTTTTCAGCCAATCGTTAAGGTAATAAATTAGACTTTCCTATATTTATGAACGGTAATGTACTCGATGAGTCACCCTTCATCTTCTAGGATTAACTCTTACTTCCGATCTTTCTTTGAAACCATTATATCAAATCCGTTGCAAAATTAACATCTGCTAAAGTTGCATCTTTTTATCGAGCTCGACACTCTTTTACTCCCGATTCTATTCTCTATCTCTATAAATCTCAAATCCGAATACATCAGTATGGAATACTGTTGCTAAATCATAAGCGGATCTTATAATGATGCCCTTTCTCTTTTAGACAAGGTGCAAAAGCGCATTGTAAACATAGTTGAACCTGCTCTTGCAGCCAACTTCCAACCATTATTACATTGTCGCAATGTTGCCTCTCTTTCTCTTTTCTACAAATATTATAATGGGCACTGCTCTAAAGAGCTAGCGTCTCTTGTGCCATCTACTAAAATTCATTCACGTGTTACTCGTCATTCAATTAATTCTCATTCTTTTTCTGTTACTTTTCCTAAGTGCTTCAAAAACTCTTATTCGTCTAGCTTTTTCCATCGAACATCAGTTCTTTGGAATTCGCTTGCTTTCCTGGTTCATATAACTTGCAATCTTTTAATTCGTCAGTTAATCGTTATCTTGCTCTACAGTCTTCATCTTTTCTTATCCAGTAACCTCCAACTCTAATTAGTAGTTTCTTGCAGCCTTGTTGGAAGCGAAGATGTTTAAAAAAAAAAAAAAGATCAATTTTTTTTTGGTAGTCGGTAAAATGCGAACTGCAAACCGAACTTTTTTTGCGAACCAAGACATTATATCTTGATGACCACTACAGTTATGTTTATAAAAGTCTTTGCTCATCAATTTTTTAATTTAACTTATATATTGTGGAATTTGATATATTTTATTTAAATTAGATTGTATTTCTTCTAAATTAAATATAATTTGTTTCTGTTTGAAGTCAGTAAAGTATAAAGTAAGATAAACAATTTTATGGCAAACGGAAAATGAAAAATATATCTTTAACAACCAATAGAATTATGGTTCGCAAAAAAGTTCGTATTTTACCGACTACAAAATTTTTCCTTATTTTTGGCGGTTAGAGAAGATAGACATCTTTTAGCAGTATTTGGAAACATGATGATGGTCTTAAATTACCAATGACATGTAAACGCATTTTTATCTGGTCAAATAAATTTGCAAATAACGCTATATTTTGTTACGGTCCGATTAAAAGGAAGGATTCTTAAATCATTTACTTTTATTTTTTTTAGATTTTCAAATATTTTTAAAATCTTTTATATAAAAATCAGCAACAGGGATTTCTTTAAATAATAATTTTAAGATTGCAAATGTCTGTGGACCAATCGCGATTCGCAATCGCCTAATTCCCATGTTTTTTTAAGCAAGTTAGCATTATAGTTTATTCCGTTAACAGTCCATGCACGCAAACTTTAAGTGGTTTCCAAACGCCCATGCCGTAATATTACGGTTATATGCATCTTCTTATATTTACTTCTTGTTCATCAGTAATTATACGTCTACTTGTCACAAAATTAATTACTGCATAATTACAGAACTTTTGTTTCAATAATTTCACTTTTACACGTGTTTACTTTTTTAAATACGACAAATAAGGAAGTTCTTTCAGTGCAAAAATAATTATCAAAAAGATAATAATTATTCACGAAAAGATAAAAAATTATACATTCAATGAATCAATAATGAAAAAATATATTTGATGATATATGTATACATATATATGAATATATGTGTGACTCGATAGCTCAGTTGGTTAGAGCGTCGAACAAAAAGTTTAAACAGTTGTAAGATACGAGTCCACCGCCAACTCAGCGCTTGAGAAGTACTTCGGTTCGCAAAAATGTTGGGCAATAACGGACGCTACTTTGGATTAGTCTTAACGACTATTTTTGGCTGTTCTTATGCTAAGCCAACAATATCTTCGGATATAAGAACATTGTATAGAAAAATATAGCATGAAAATTCAAATAAATAAAAAAAAAGATGATTGATTATTGAAAATTAGAATAAAAGTTTAATCATGTTAAAAATAGTAAAAAAAAATTTTTATTCTATTAGTAAAAAAACACGGGAAATTCGAGACCACTTCAAAAAAAAAAAGGACTAATAGCGACCGTATTTAAAAAAAACACGGGACTGTTAAAGGGTTATTATTGATCTTTTTATATTTTTTTCAATAAAGTTTTTATAGATTTTGTTATTAATTTTGTTCTTACAGATTTTGGGTTTTAAATATTTTTCTTCAGGTAGATATATACAGTCCCCTTAAAATATGACATCAATATCTTGATTTAAAAAAAAAAAAAAATTTAAAATTTAACTATAACAGACTTGCTTTTTAGGTTACATCAGTTATCTTTTTTTTATTGAACAATTTCGGCTTACTGTTTGAGTTTAATAAACCTAATTTTCTTTTATTATTTTTCTTTTTCTCTCCAAAATTTGCATCATTCAATCTAATTTCTACTTCTCTTCTTATAATTGATATAGGCTTCAAAAGTTTGACAGCATCATCTTCATTTGTTTCAAATTCTTTCATCTTCAAACCGATAAAGGTTTCAATAGCTTTGAGTCTATCGATATCGAATTGAGTTAAAAGGGTTAGAGACATTCCCCCTCTTCCAGCACGAGCAGTTCGACCTACTCTATGAACATAGTCTTTAGGTGAAGCAGGTACGTTATAATTTATCACAAGTTGAACAAGCGGAATATCTAATCCGCGACTAGCTACGTCAGTAGCAACAAGTATTTTAACGTGTCCGGAACGAAAGCGTCCTAAAGATGAAAGTCTCTCTCTCTGAGACATTACAGAATGAAGTCCAGCACATTTAAATTCTACTTTTCGTAACATAAATGATATAACCTGACAACTTCGACATGTTTGAGTAAATATTATAACAGATTTTTCGGAAAAATTTTGAAGCAAATGCACTAAATAACAGTCTTTTACTTGAGATGGTATAAGTAGATATCTTTGATCTAGCTCTGTTACAGTAGCAAAACTAAAAACAAACTATAATGATAGTGCTTCTCTAATAAAACCATCGTTAAAAATAAAATAATCATTATATATATATATATATATATATATATATATATATATATATATATATATATATATATATATATATATATATATCAGGGTTCCCACTATTAAAACTAAAGCTAAAATTAAGGGTTTTAAGGAGATTTAAGGAGATATTTTCCTAATATTTAAGGAGATTTGGTCGCGAACGACATTTTTTTGAAAGAAAAAGTAAGGATAATTAAGGTAAACGATTACATTATAAATTAGATAATTAAGATAAACGATTACATTAAAAACATAATCTTATTTTTTCAATAAATTTTAAATATAAACAGAGAAATAATTATTACTTTATATATAAATATTAATATATATATATATATATATATATATATATATATATATATATATATATATATATATATATATATATATATATATATATATATATATATATGTATATATATATATATGTATATGTATATATATATATATATATATATATATATATATATATATATATATATGTATATATATATATATGTATATGTATATATATATATATATGTATATGTATATGTATGTATGTATATATATATATATATATATATATATATATATATATATATATATATATATATATATATATATATATATATATATATATATATATATATATATATATATATATATATATATATATATATATATATATATATATGAGTGGGTAAGAAGCCAAGGGGTACAAGTGACATTTTCATAGTTTTGAGATACAGCTGTTTAAAGTTAAAGTATTTTTGTTAAATATACTCAGCTGTTGTTATGTTTTCCCAGTAGAAAGCAGCACAGGGCAAAGATTCACTTGTATCCCTTGGCCACCAACAATTTTGTTTGCTTCTTCTATCAAATTCTATACTTAACTTAATTTTGGTAAAATTTGGTAAAATCACTTGTACCCCTTGGCTTCTGACCCACTCATATATAATAACAAAAATAGGTTTGAAAACTATCAAAAATCTATATATTATCTTCTTTATTAACAAGTATTATCCATTCACTTTAAAAAAAATTTCTAGATGATTAAAAAAAAAAAAATAAGGAGAAATAAAGGAGAGCAGTCAAATTTTAACTTTTTTAAAGGTTATTTAAGGACATTTAAGGAGGTTTTTATTTTTTAAGGATATTTAAGGTTTTTAAGGATGTGTGGGAACCCTGTATATATATATATATATATATATATATATATATATATATATATATATATATACACGCACATTTTTAAAATTGATATATTTTAACCATTTTTTAAAATCTTTATTAAAAATTTAAAATTTAAAGTATTTTATATTAAAAAAAAAAACACATTTTATAAAAAAAGTATTCAGATAATTTTCCCACTGTGGAAAATTAGTACTACAAAAATAGTTCTTCGAAATTAGCACTTTCTGAGAAAATTGAAATCTGAATGCTAAAATAAAAATGGATGATTTATACCTAATTGTCCTTCATTTATTGTTACATTCTTAATAGTTACATTGCTGCATAATATATAAAGTTGTAGATCCAAGGACATATGGTAGATTTTAAATAATTAGAAGACATTTTTTATTTATTTGTTCTTTATGGAAGGTTTGGTGACTCGGATAAACAACTTTAATAATTGTCAAAAATAAAAGTATAAATCTGAAAATGACACTTTATTGAGTTTTTTACTACCAATAAAAGCAATTCAAGTGATATGAATTTGAAATTAAGATTTATCCTACTAAATCTTTCCTACTTATCAAAAGATACTTTGCACTGTACTGCTCATGCAGTAGTTGGAGAGTATTTAACCTCACATCAATATACAGCAATTCTAAGCATTTTCATTAATAATTTTAATGATTGCTTGTCTGAAATTGTATGGTCAACTTTGTTTTCATAAGAACCAGTAAAGTTCGCAAATGCAAATGAAATTTGACCACATAAAAAGCATTGCTAAGTCTTTAAATTCTCTTATAAATAGGACAGCCTTTGGAAGATATTATTAAACAAAAAGTTGTTGCAATTTATGAATCTGAAGAGTTTACCAGACAATGTCCAGGAAAAAAAGACTTTGTTTCTGTAGGTATAAATAATGTAAAAATTCATAAACAAAAACATTTAATGTTAGTTCGATTAAAGGAACTTTATCTTGAGTTTAACCCTATACACAAAGTTGAATTCAGCACGTTTTGTGAACTATGGCTAAAGTTGTGAATCACAGTTGACAGTAATGGAAGTCACTCAGTTGGCGTATGTTTTTATCATTTTACTAAAGGGCTTTACCTAACGGCAATTTAATGTATTACAAAGATTTGATGAAAATATGTGTTCGTAAAATAGATAGTCTAAGCTGCATGTTTCATATATGTTCCAACTGCCCTGGTAAAGTAAATTTAAAGACTTACTTGAAAAATGTGTTTGAAAATAATGATTTTAATTTCGACTATTAGATCACGTACAAACAATTGGTATCAACTGACCGAACTGCACTTGTCACAGTCCAAACAAGCACCATTGAGTTTATTGAAACTCTAATGTTATTGAAACTCTAAACTCTTGTATGACTTTTGTCACCACCACTTAATCAAAGAAGCACAATTCTCCTACTTATTAGAGGCAAAAAGAACATAAGATCAACACGCTTGTCTTATTCTTATGGATTTTGCAGAGAACTATAGTTTTTTTGTACAAGATGCTGTACAAGGATTTTACTGGCAAGCCAATCAAGCTACCTTACATCCATTTGCTGTTTATTACAAAGATGAAAAAATCAACTCAAATGTGAATGCTATTGTACAATTTCTGAACATCTTCCCCATGCAGTATGGTGGAATCGGAGTTATACCTAGAAAAAAATCTAGCAACAGTCTTTAATCTAATTCTATACAGTTAGGCTTTTGCACATAGGTTAGTTAGCATGTCAGCAATGACCAAAAAAAAGCCCCGTGTTTTTGAAAACAGGAATTGACATTTTAGGCCTATTTTTCAATTAAAAATTTGGACCAAATTTTTTATATTGCCAAAATTATATGTTTTATACATCATTTGAAAGATAATTTGAGTAAAAAATTTGCTTATGCAAAATTTTAAAAATGTAGGGTTCGTGAGTTATGGTTGCCTAAAGCGGAAATTATGACATCATTGTTTTTGAAAAAATATTCTTTCTTTGAAATTGTAAGCATGATATACCATTAGAAATAGAATTTAATGCTAAGTAAAATATTATCTTAACTCATAACATAAAAATATTGGTGCTGTGGCTAAATGGGGAGGGCTCTAGCGCTAGCATTCAACTTTGTAATAATCAGGCTTGGTCGGGAAGCGGGAGCGATCGCTCTCGAATACTGACCACGGAAATTATATTTAGTTGCGAAAAACTAGCCAGGTTTTTTAGTCGTTTTGAGAACATTTAAGTTTATTTACGAAACAAAAAATTTTTGTTTTACGGACGTACATGGAAACATAAAAAACTTGAATGTTCTCAAAACATCTTGGTGCGAAAGAATAAAAAGAATATTCACAAACACTAAAAACCCACCAAATTAACGAACAAACTAATTCTATTGGTTCAAAATATAAAATGCGCTGACTAAGCGAAATACAATTTTTGAGCATTTTGTTGAAATGTTTTAGAAATTATATTATTCACGATTTGTTACGTTTTCAGATTTCTAGCATAAATCGTTTTAAGAATATATATAAATTGTTTACAAAAATAAATGTTTTAAATATATATTAATTAAATTGTCAAAATTTTAAAAGTTTATTATAGATTTTACTTGTACATTCTTATTTTTTATTTAAAAAGTATGTATTCTTTATGTAAATGTAATTTTGTTGATCTGTTTTTTATCGTAATGTATCTTTTAAAGCAATTTTTATGATTTAAACAAAGACTTACAAAAATAATTGCGTTTTCAATAAAGTTATAATCGTTAAAGTTAATAAACTTATCATGTAACACATAAAAGAAGTTTCTGGTTACTAAACACAAACAACGCATACAAAGTAACTCGCGGATGAACAAGCACCGCGCCTGAGGTCATGACAGAACACAAATATATATAGCAAATAATTAGATATAAAAAAAAGTTTCTAGATATTGGTTTACTAACTCTAATTATTTTCGCTTTATTTGCCATTCTTAAAAACTCGTTACACTTTTTTCTGCTTTAACTACTAATTAAATTACTAACTAATTAAAAAGCCCATTCACTAAACATCATCAGCGATATCGTGAAGCAGTTTCGCTTCCTCGTCATATTTTTAACCTTTTTAGTTGATTTCTATCTTGTTAATTTAATGTCTATAGTAATTCAATGATTTAATTATTTCATTTGTTTATCTTACTAAGAAGAATTGCTTCAAATATGTTAAACTTTTCAAACTACGCGAAACATAAAATAGGTATTAAATAGGTGTTAGCTTTTTTATTTATAAAATAATTTAGCTTAAATAAAACTAAAACTTGCAAACTTTGTTCAATAAAGAATATTTGTTTCCTTTTTAAACAATCGTAAGATGTTACTTTAGATAAAAAACATCGCTTAGTTTTATAAAAAAATTTTTGTAATTGTCTCTCATCGGTCCAATTAATCTTATGCGCTTTTTTTTTTTCGCTTGTTAAAATGTTCTCAAAACGACTAAAAAATCTGGCCAGCTTTTCCCAACTAAATATTATTTACGTGGTCAGCAATTGAGAGCGATCGCTCCTGCTTCCCGACCAAGCCTGAATAATAAGTTTTTATCATTAATGTTGTTTATTGAATTTTCCATAAAATAACACAAAAAAAAAACATTTCAGTTATGGTAATGTTTCGATATTTATTCCAATGGCTGCAAATTTTCACAACTAACATTGTCTTTTTCAATTTCTGAAAAGACTCCACTTGATAACAAGTGAAGGTATCTTCGTATTCAAAAGTATTTCTTGTTTCGAACCAGCCA